ACATGATACTTTCTCCCTCCACTAATGATACTCATGTCAGAGTAAGTTTTGTCAATCCAAAGTCTACTGATAATGTGAGGTTATGATCAACAGCATTGGTCGGTAGTTGTACTTGCTCAGTCCCCCCAACAATTCTTCGCGGGCTTGTTCGTTTGCCATTTTGATCGATCACTAACACAACGTCCAGTGATTCTTATTGAAAGTGATCGTCGGGATTTTTATTTTTGTTGTTTTTATTTATCGGCGAGACGATGCGTTCAGCTAGTCTGGATTTACGAGGAGGTAAGGATGCAAGGATCTGAAGGAGGGGAGAGGCCGAGCTTTATGGCCATGATGGTAGGCCTCCTGCATGTCCTATGCAAGCTAACAATGCCTTCATGACCACTCAAAAAACGACAAGTCTGTCCTTCAATTTGATACGCTCGCTACAGATATAACTCCGTTTCCTTCTAGATCTCTTTGCTTCTTTGCTTTATCTGGTAGGTAGCCTAGATTGTATGCCTCTGTCGTAGTTCTTGGGATGAAATAGTTGATCTAGTGAACAATTACGGCAATTCCATCCCTTTACTCACATGCTGATTGACTCAGCTAGACTTCTTCTTGCTTCCTGCAACAAGCCTGTTGACCCTCTCAATCTCCGCTCTTGCACCTTCCCATTTCTTCCGCTTCCCATCGAAGACACGGAATAGATGCGGAGTATAAATGCCATTAAGTAGAAGCTTAGCAAAGGCGCGATCTGTAAGCCAAAATTGCCATGCTTTCCAACCCCAGCCGAGATATTCATCGACGCCAGTGCCGGCGGTCTTGTTCGCCCAAGCCATCCACTCATGTTGCTTGACCCAGACAGGTATGACTGGGCCTTCCTTAGCAATACCACATATCCATGTATGATGACGATCCACGGCGTGTTCCATCTCTTCTTGAGGAGGGAGCCTCGAGTTACCTTTCCAGACCTGAGCTACTGTCATGGATGCTAGATCGTACAATGGCAATGCGCCTGTCGCGAACCCAACGCAGCCCATGAATGCCAACGATTCAGGATAGTCAAGAGAAAACACATTCTGATAAAGTCTTGGTAGAGGCTTGCCTTTGGATCCTGGGGCTGCCGCCCAATCGGATGTTGTGTGGCGTGTTGGATCAACTGCTGGATCTAGAAGCGCAAATGTGGCTTTGTATCCGGTGCACCAAATGATTGTGTCAACGGTAAGCCGGGTCCCATCGTCTAGCTGGACTTCGTTTGGCCCAGTGACTTCTTTAAGGCCAACGACAGACTCAACCTCGCCAGACTCCAGCATGCTGATCAAGTTGTCCGACACAATTGGAAGGGCATGCTTGAGTGAAGGTGCTGGTGAAAGCTTCCATTCAGGACGGATATTGAAGGCGCCATTTTGCATTTTCTTCACCATGAATGTGAAAAACTTCTCCGCTAGGTTGGGGAAATTGCGGTCCATGAAGCCCTGGAAAGCCACGATGCGGGAAGTGAGGGTATGATCAAACGGGCGGCCATTTACAATACGAGGCACCTAAGCAATGTATTAATATTCATGCTTTTCAACGGACAAAATTCCTTAGGGGCCATACCACATAAGACCCGTGTCTGTGGGAAATGTAGATCTTATCCGCATATCCTCGCAGAGCTGCTGCAGTATCGGCACCGGTGTTTCCAAGACCAACAACCAGCACCTTTCTTCCTTTGAATGCCTCTGGTCTTCGTTACACTTAGTGAGGAACGATTTAACATGGTCGAAAATGAGATGTTTGTAGCGTAGGCATACCTTTTGAAAGCCCGAGAGTGTAAAGATTGCCCTGCAAACAACGCCTGTCCTTTCAGCTCCGGGATTGACGGGAGAGCATTGGCACCTATTGCCATAATCACTTTGTCAAAGTATTGGCAATCAGATCCAGCGATCTTGAGTTCCCACTGACCACAAGACTCGTCCCGGCATATCTGATCAATTTTGGTACCCAATCGTAACGAGGGGCCAAGCTTGAAATGTTCCACGTAGCTTTCCAAATATTTCTGCACGTCAGCCGCAGTACCATGACTTGGAGTGTCTTCTGGGAAAGGAAAGTCGGTAAAACAGCCCTATAACCCCGATTAAATCTGCTTGTCAAGTTTTTGGTATGCCGCCTTGACGAATCGTTCGTATCACTTACTCGTTCCTTCGATATATTAATGATAGTCGCTTAATGCAGTTGGTGTCAGTGTCTTGTTTGGTATAGCTCACATAGGCACCTACAAGGCAAGACTGAAGTCTTATCCTCCTCAGTGTACCTCCACAAGCCTCCGACATAGTCATTCCGCTCGAATCCAGTTACTTGAAATCCTTCTTCCCTCAAATTCTTCACCGTTACTAATCCCAGCACACCTATCGCAAATTGTCAATCTTCATACACGGCAGTCGGTCTCAGAAACCTACCTAGGCCTACAACGGCTACTGTCTGGCCAAGCTCCTCCATTTTGTCGATTGTCATGCAGCCTGCAAAGGCATATACTCCATCACGCTACATATTTTGACACGATTCAAAAAGTGCAGACGCGTCTTGATTTATATATACCATATCACCTCAGCAGGCTTGGCGGCCGCCATCGGCTGACATGGTCTTGGCAGCTGACCATCAAGGTGAAGAGTGAGCGGAATTACCTGAGGATTACTCAACGTATGGGGCTTGTGTGGCTGCTAAGTGATGGGATCGATTAGATAAAGTTAGAGAATATGATTGGTACGAAAGATCAAAGAAGACCACAATGAGATATGATTGGCAAGCTGGAGAGAGCTGAGCGCCTGGAATGCTTAATATCTGGGGCTGTGGCTCTCTCATATTTCTAGGGGTCCCTAGACGTGTCCTGAAATCCGCTTAAGGATACCGTATTCTACCTAGTAACCGAAGCGAAACCCATTATTTCCGCTTTATTCGGAGCGCCGACCTTCCTCCGCATTTGCGTTCACTTTCGGGCCAGTTAAGCTTGCATTGCGCTCACTTACACTATCATTCGACTTCCTCGTCGATGGTTTTGAGAATAGTAAATCTGAATGACTGCTGCTCTCAGTTGCTGAGGAATAATTAGTAGTAATCAAGTTGAAGGGACTTATCGGTGGCTTTGGGGTTTCTTTTTCTATTCGACGTTTGATCCTGTCATGAATGGTCAGAATCTATGTGAGGCTCAAGAGGTGATCGATCTTATAGCTTACGTTGGACTTAATGGGTGAAGTTCCGAATGGGTGCATGAGTTTGTATCTTGCTCATGGCTATATTTTAGCATACTGGCGCACTAATGGCTCGGCTTGCCATAGTTGTTTCGTCATTTACCCATTGAGCTCAAAGTTCGTACCTTTATCGATTGAGACAATGACATAATTGACATGCATATCTATTGCTTCGATACGCGAGCGGGGGTGGTGGTGACTAGACTTCCTTGATGGAAAAGGGGTGTTTGTCGTAATTTGTGTACGTCAACTTCTCACAATAAGCATGCTACTGAATATGCATGGTTACAATTACTGACATGACATCTGGAAGAATGGTCACACAATGGTCCAAGAGCCGACTGCACGGTCGTGTCGCGCTTTTGACTCGGCACGAAACAGCTCGCATCCCCACGGGGCAAAAGTTCGACCGCGGGGTTGGGGTTGGCTACATTAGATGGTTTCGCGCCTAGATTAACTGCCGATGCCTGCTTGAGGGGCTGAGCGCCAGCAATTCGCGGCAGAATTGCTTGGACCGAGTCGCGCCGTCGGACCAAGGTCTCTCGCTAATGGATACAACCGTGACCAAGGCAATTAAACCTCACCAACCGCGCTCTCTAAGCTTCGCCAGTTCTCATCACGGGAGCCTCAACAAATAGAGTTATTTCACCTTCCATCGTGGAATCGCTCGTCCGACACTCAGTGCCCAGAAGAGTCCGACAATGGCTTATTCTGGCGGCCCGCCAGGTCATGTACCGCTGTCAAATACATTCGATTGGGTTTTCAGCAATCCCTTCTCTCGAGAGAGCGATTACACTCCAGCAAGCCAATTGGTGCCGAAGATAGAAGATGACAGACCAATCTTTATAGATTACAAGTCAGGTATGGATTCTCTCCGTGAAGCTTGAACCACAATTGCACGCAACTTGCCCTGCCAATGTGCGCTTCGAGAGCTCTTCAGATCTTGGAAGGGCTCAAACTGATCAAAGACTTGAAGGTTCCGTTCTCACTTACTCGCGGATACATGCAGACAGCCGTGCTCTCGCGGCGGGTCTACGTTCACTGAAGCTAGACGGCACCGATGTCCTCATCCTTCCACCAACCTCAACTTGTCCAGGGCCAGAGATTGCGCCCGTGGTTCTTATCCAACTTCCCAATTGCTTGCAGTTTGCGCCTGTTCTGCTAGGTACCTTCGCATCAGGACTGACAGCGACGCTGGCATCACCAGCTTTGACAAGTGACGAGATCGCCTGGATATTAGAGAACTCCCGCCCTCGTGTAATCATCACTGCCAAGGCATGCGTGAAGGCTATGCAAGGGGCAATCCAGAAACAGAAAGATGCCGCATTTTTCAAGAAGGTCCCGCTCTTCGTCGTGGACGTCGTGAATGATCCGTACCCCCTGCCAATCTCGAGAAGTACTGGTGCAATAGCCACGGGGGAGCAGGATTGGAAAAGCTTGCTGGTTCCCACTTCACAGTCTCCTGAGCCAGTAAGCCCGTGCCCGTCTGATTTGGCTCATAAGCGCACTGGCGTCATATTATGGTCCTCTGGGACATCAGGCCGGTCTAAAGGCGTGCTCCTTTCGCATCATGCGCTCAATTTCTCCACGGCCGCGCTGTGGCATGACGCGGACTTCTTCCTGGGGCAGGAACAACGGTGGCTCGGATACGTACCATTCTACCATGTTTTCGGACTCTGCAATGTCCTCCTACTTGCGATATGCACCGGCTCTACCGTGTACACCATGACAGCGTTCAGCCTCGAAGCCGTGCTCGGTGCCATACCTAAACACCAAATCACCTATCTCCACATGGCACCACCAGTCGCTGTTATGCTTGCTAAAGCAGCGATTGTCGAACCGTATGCACGCCGTGATAAGAACGGTCGGAATGCATTCAGCACTGTCGTGGGTGCTGTGACTGGTGGTGCACCACTGGGTCACGATGTTGTGGTGCAGGTTTACCGCAGGGCAGGATTCCGGGTGAGGTTAGGGTACGGATTATCAGAAACATGCAGCACATCGTTACAGCGGGGATTGGCGGAAGACGAAATGCACGCGCACAAGGGCGATACCGGTCTTCCTCATTGGGGAGTCGAGATTATGATCGCTGCTAGTGCTGCAGAAGATGCTAACCAGAGCTCCCACGAAATAACGACGAAGGCGGCTCCTACCGGTACTCCTGGCGAGATTCTCGTTCGCTGCCCCAGCCTAATGAGTGCTTATCTGCCTGCGGGGGGTCTCATGGCAGGTACCAAATCAACGCCCGACATGTCAGTGACTTTGGATGCACTAACTCCAGATGGGTGGTTCCGCACTGGCGATGTGGGCATTCTCGATGCGAAAGGCCATTTGTTCATCACCGACCGTCTCAAGGAGCTGATAAAGGTTCGCGCTTTCCAAGTCGCTCCGGCTGAGCTCGAAGCGGTCTTATGCAGCAGTGAGTCTGTCGCCGATGCTGGTGTTGTCGGTATATACGATGAATCAGAGGCCACAGAATGGCCCCGTGCGTTTGTGGTTGCGGCTGGCGCAGATTCAACGACAAGCAAGTCAAGGGAAGAGCTCGAGACTCTGGCACAGGAATTGCGAACGCACGTAGAAGCCCGGACGGCCAAGTATAAGTGGTTACGAGGCGGGATCGTGTTCGTTGACCAAGTTCCGAAGTCACCTAGCGGTAAGATCTTGCGTCGTGTCTTGAAAGAAGGACACGTGAAGGGGGTCGAGGTGACCATATACGAGAGGAAGAGAAGGGATGTCAAGTTGTGATGCGACGACGCAATAGTGATGAAGTCTAGGCTCGACTTATCTTCGTGGCTTGCCTGACTTGGCCGATTCACGGGCACTGCCGTATCGCCAGATTTAAACTCGGAGACTCCCTGGTTCACTACAACCCGCCAATGAGTGTGAAGTGGGCGAGAGCCGCCGATTTATGCCTATGCTAATGAGCATAAGTTTGGTAACTCATGAGACTGGGCCATGTCATGCTCTAGTCACTATGGTATCGCTCCTGCTGTTGTCTACTTGTGGCGATCAATGTATAGAACATTTTGAAATTTGAAGACTAGATAATTATACACGAACGGAGAAAATATCTAAAGGGCTCAAGAATTTCTCTCGCCATGTCCTAGCTGCCTTCCTATTGTGATATATCACTCAAATTTATAGTATGAGGCCGATAGCGCTTCTATCGATTTCCCAGTCTCAATTTGTCAAAGTATTAAGTAATTAGCAGACCAAAACCCAATCGTGTCACCCTCCATGAAATTTCTGTCCCCCATAAACTACATTTTCAAGAAAGTCTAGATCGACCAGCAACTTGGATCCCATCCTAATACTACTGCTGAACAGGTAAAGATCATTCATTGATTGCTTACGCTCTCGTCGTCCGGAGAAAGCTTTTCCCACACAAGAGCAGCGGTTGCCATCACATTGTTCTTTTATAGATTGTTAGATGATTCTCGATTTTTCCGTGGAACGGAGTTCACTTACCGGCAGCTCAAAATTCTGCACTGGCCGTAAAGTCAGTAGACTTCGGCCATCCTCCTCTTCCAGATAGACCTTCCGCGTCTGCTTGGTTCCCATCCAGCTAGGATCCAAGGAAATAGCAACCTGAGTGCTCAAATAGGTTTCTTTCTCATCCCTAATGACATGAAAACGTCCGCAGTAGGTCACCATGGGTCGTGCAACACGAAGGACCTCGTCGTCTGTTGCCACATTCCAAGGAGAATACGCGCTCTCCGCATTAGTAGCCGATCTGGTCACCAGAACAGACATGTAGCTATCTTTCGTGAAGACAATCCGGCCAAGAGGAGATATTCCGGCAGGATGAATGGTGGAGCCGATTTCATCAGACCCTGACAATATTGTCATTTCATAGTTAAGTAGCTTCCAAGTACCGACCAACGTGTTCAAAATATTCGCCATCATGAGTGGCCTTTATGGCATCATTGCTTGAAAATGTAATTATTCAAGGGCTACACTTTTGAAACCGACTTGGAGCAATTTGTATCTCACGGGATGCTGGCGTCCCCTACTGCCGGCTTACAAAATATCGGATTAGGCGGCTGTGATAACTTCGCGTACGGGTTTCGGGTCTCGGGTATACCAGTAAAAAAATAGCCATTCAGTGTATTCCAGGTCTAGCTTGGGCGCGGGTCTCACGTTTAGCACGGTGAGCTGATTTTTCGTACTACGTAGTAGACTGACTCAGATTATGAGCGATGTGGGTAATAGTAGCTCATAGTTTCATCTGATGAACATAATTCTATTCCCTTTCCAAGAGGACACTAGTTGTAATAGCAAGAGTGTCCTTAACCTTCAAAAGTGTCTTACTTTCTCAATGAGATACCTGCCCTAAGGATTCTTCTAACTCCTGGCCGTTGATGGTGGGAGGTTTCGCATCCAATGCTATATAGAATACACGAGCAAACTCAGTCTTGCTCGGGTTTGACCAAGCATGCCTGGTGCCTCGTTGGACTATTACATCACCGCGCTGCACTATAGCAAGATCATCAGCTCGAACGCAACTCTAGGCATGGATTTTGCATACAAAGACGCTTCTCGCCGCCCTCCAACTCTAATTGTATTTCCCCCTCAACGACAACACCGAAATCAGTAGTGATTGTGCGATGCCAATGGGGAGGTGCACCAGGATGGTAGTCGACATATCGTGCCACAAAGCCTCCAGGTATCATGAAAGGTGGATGTTTGGAGAGGTGCTCCTTGTAAGCCGATAGGTCTGCGTCATCGGCAAGTGGAATGGGGAATTGGGCTCCGGTGTATATCAGAAACATATCGCCACCCAATGGCGTACGGTCCCATTTGATTTCTTCTGCCACATCAGTCTCAAATGTAGGCTTGCCATCTGCATTGTGGGTTGTGATGACCCGCTTGACGGCTCGTAAGGGTTTAGAAGGAATTTGATCGGCCTCCATCTTTATATGAGAGGTATGTCTCATTAAAAGGACGAATATATATTATAATATACTTGGGCAAATCTACTCAGAATCCAGTACAGTTGTGTGTCCTTTATATTCAAAAGGTAACGGAGAGTAGTTGCTCCGATTCGGCCTTCGCAGGCCAGAATGTATTCACGCATCGAGTGTTGTTGAAGCACCCTACTTACAGCACAACAGTTCACTCCCGGAAATGGGCGGCCAGATGCCCGCTAATTCAGTTGTCCTAAAAGAGTTCGAAAACTAGAGAGGAGTATTGTATAAAAGCGGCATAATCTGCTCTTCTCGTTTCCGTCACAGACTCACAGTATCTAGGTCGTCCCAATTGACGTCCCAATATACCTGAAGGTTGTTCGAATGTCTAGAGTGGCTCATGTGCAAGAGGCTTCATCATCTACCTGGCTTTGCCTGGGGGACCTACATAATCAGTCCGTCGGAAGGATTGGCTCGAGCGCTGTCTGACAAATCGCGGTGGCTCTCGCGCTTCGGCGGCCGAAGCCCGGCATTTCCCCAGACGAGGCCGTCTTTTCACGGCGCGGCGCTTTGGTTGCACACATGTAACAAGCACCGTTCTTCTGCACGCGCAAATAAGCCAACGAGTTCCGAATGAATCCTCACAAGCGCCGACGGAAAGACGCCGAGGGTGACGACGACCTTGCGCCGAGTGCGTGCGACCAATGTCGGCTCCGCAAGGTGCGATGCGACCGCAAGCAGCCGGACTGCTCCAATTGTTGCCGCTCGGGTGTTTCTTGCAGCTCGTCTCACACTGCTAAGCGTATCAACCATTTCAAGGAATTGCAAGTAGTCAATTATCCTCCTTTTCGTCTTAAGATACCTAGCCTAATATTTACTTAGACGCGACGAGTTTGCTGTCGTCCTTGAGAAAATTGAAGGCTTTGATCAGTCGTTAAAGGCCTTGACAAATCTCACTCAGCAGATCGCCTCGCGATCATACAGCCACAACCCACATCCCAATGATGATAACACTGTCTCTAGTTCCCCTACAGTGATCAATCCGCCCCATGAGGATCAGTTGGAAGCTATTGAGCTTGACGGCGGTGGCGAGCTCAGCTATGGCTTTCCAGCGCCCTTGGTATTGATTCGCTCACTCCTGAAGCGAATGGAAGACGCTGTTACCGACCGCGGACTAGACGAAAATCAGCAGCCTCGAGTTGCACTTGCAGTGCAAGAACCTAACGTTCAAGCCATCTTGCGACAGAGGATTGGCCAGTTCCCCTGCATCGGACCGTGTCCTCAGAGTATTGTGTCCACGGATCATAAGCCCATTGCGACTCCTCCACGACTGCTTGTCGATTCCTGTGTAAATGGTTACATGGCAGACATCAACGCATCGATCCCCATATTCGATGATGCGAGTCTCCACCAGGCAATTGATGCGCATTACGAAAGCAAGCAAGCGGAAAGCCACGGTGCTTGGGCAATCATTCTAAACAACATTGTGCTCCTCGAATTAGGACTTCAGACACAGCTAGGGCATGCATCGAAGATTGTGTCCGTCAGTATCTTTGATGATCTCATACCGAAATTTATGCGGAATTGTGAACGAGCAATGTCAGATCTTGATGCTTATAACACCCCATGCTTAGTAAATCTTCAAGCTCTCCTGACAGTTGTAAGGAGCAGCATCTCGAAGAGGCGTATTCATTATTAGCTGACATACCCTTCTCTACACAGACTTTGGTGGCACGCGAGTTTTATCATAACTCCCTTTTCGAAAGAGTGTGTCAGGTGGCATGTCAGCTTGGCCACATTATGGGCTTACATCGGAAGCGACACCCCTTTCCATCACCAGAAGCAGAGCGCCTCTACAAGGTTCTTTACAACTTAGATAAACAGCGCGCATTTATAACAGGCCAGCCATGCAATATGTATTCGTTCGAGTCTGACCTACACACCACCACACCAGCGACGAGTATTGCGTTAGACATGGTAGATGCTACAATGGAGATGATGACTATCTGGGAAGAGATTCACTATTCTCTCTATTCGTCGAAGTCAAAAAATGCCAGTCATACACACAGAGAAAGCCGGGTTGACTTTCTCAAAAACTCGCTTGAGCAGTGGAATACGCGCTTTTGCGAAACACAAACGCCAAGGAACTCAAGGGGCATGACAGATCTACCACACCTGATGATGGAACTGCAATATTATCGCCACACCACGGCAGTACTCGTACTTCGCGTAAGCCATCAAGATCAACTCGTCAGCAAACAACTACATGAGCACTGTCGCAAGGCTCTTGGCTACATTATTGAGTCAGGCAGCATCAATCCCCTTACCACACTCACCTTGGCCTCGCTCGCACGCATGTTTCGCACCTCGCCTATTGTCGCCTTCATGGAGCTGGTATCATCACATCTAATGACATTTCTAGATCAAGGAGCCTTTGATGACAATGCAGACAGAGATATTGAGTTGCTCCGGGACGTATGCCAGCGACTTGAGATCTTGCAAAATCCCAGCTGCCCTCGATCATATTACAACCGGGTGCAACTCGGGTTATCATGGGCCATCAGTGTTCTCGAAGGCCTGAAAGATGCATTGAAGCAGCCTACCTCTCGACGATACAGTAACCTAGATGCCGACTTAGATGTCGGCTCGAACGAGTCCAGTAGAGATCTTGACCCAAACCACGTCCCGCCGAGCTTCAACCCTGCGACTCTCTCGTCAATGGATGTCTATCCGCTACGGTCAATGTCTCATGTCGCTTTGCCATCAGAATCTTTTGTGGGAAATCAAGAGGAACGGATGATCAGCAATGTCCCAAATTCATCATTTCTAAATTACAAT